TACGAGAGGCCGACCTCGTGATCGTCTAATAAAATCGTAATTAAATCGAATTATTCTCCCCTTTTTCAGTCTTGCTTTCAATACCCTTTATTTTTAACCGTTGACCGAAAGTCAACAATCTTATAAGATAATAAATATAAGATAATGAATATTTATTATATTATAATAATATTATAATGTATTACATTATATAATATTATATTTTATAATATAATAAATATAAGGTGATATAATATAATAATTAATAAATAATATATTATCTTATATTATATCATTTTATAAAAAAACATATTATCTCATATTATATTACCTTATATCATCTTATATTATCTGATATAATAAATTATATGATAATATAATAAATATTATATTTACTTATAAAAAGTGGTAAAATAAATAAAATAAATAGATTTTTATTTTTATACTTTATTATGTTAGATTATTTTATTCTTATTTAATTTTCACTGGTGCACTATAATCTGATTTATTTTTTAATTTAATTTTACCATTATTATTTTTATTTCCAAATTTATATAATTAATTTTAGAATTAATAGATATAATTATGTATTTTAATGTAATTTAATTTAAATGCACTATACTATAATAATCTATCTTACTCTATTTTAATTTCTTTTTCATTTATTATTATATAATTTATTTTATTATATTTTAATTATTATAGTTTATATCTTATTAATATGATATACATTATCTTCAAAATTTGATTGTATTTATTAAGACGTAGCGTCCATATATTCACAAGTTAGAAAATAAAATGTATTACATTATATTATTATTATTATTATTATTATTATTATTATTATTATTATATAATAAATATTTAATATCTTATATTTATTATCTTATAAGATAATATAATATAAGATAGAAAATATAATAAAATAAATAGTAAAAATAAAATCAAATAAATATATTATTGGCTTAATTGCTAATAAAACCATGACATTTTCGAAAGTTGCAATTATATGCATCACTTTTAAACTCAGCAGCCATGCCAGCAGTCAAAGCCCGAAATTGGGCCCGGTGCATACAATTGCCAAAAATTGTAAAAGTGGTGTATATATTTGTCAAGTTTAAAAGTGATGCATATAATTGCAATTTTCGAAAAAGTCATGGATTTATTAGCAATTAAGCCTTTTTTGAAAAAAAAAATGTCCATCATTTAGGGCGTCAAGTTGACAATTTAATCAAAATTCGTACAATAACTAATATAGTGTACTAAAAATGATCATTTTTAGTTGTCATATTTAGTGTATTATGTTGGCTTTTGTATTGAGTTTTAATTAAAATGACAATTTAGTGTATCATTCTTGAAGACGTCCTATATGATGGACCATTTTCAAAAAATTGTCAACATAGTGTACTAAAAATAAAATTTATCCTTTTATGAATCCTCTGTATTAAAACGCGGTCGTTTGCATAAAAATATTGAAAAGTGTGTTCAGAGTCCGGATTGGTCCGGTTTTAGCCCAAACCATGGCCAAACTGGACCTAACGGTTTTTTTTTTCTTGTCCATAACCAGAGCCAGTTTTATTTTTTAACCGAGCACAATCCGGACCGTATTGGACGGTCCAGTTTGGCGGTTAACCGGTTAAATCCAAAATTCTTGTTTTGGGCCTTCGCTTTTTATTTTTTTCATTTTGGACTTAATTTTTGTTTTTCAATTTTGGGCCCAAACGAGATTATTTGGGCCTAAAAATTAAGAAAAACAACAATAATGAAATAAAAATTACACATTTCGTCCCATAAGCATAACAATATACATTTCGTCCCATAAACATACAAAAAATGATGAAGATTAAATTATGCAAATTGAACCTAAACAAGCATTCATTTTTCATTTTTAATATTTACCGGTCCGGTCCGGTTAAACCGGCGGTTTGCCGCAGGTAATCCGTTAACCGGACCGGTTGTTCCGGATTTTTAAAAAAATTAACCACCGAATTTTTTAAGGTTTTTTTAACCGACCATTTAACCGATCCGTGGTCCAGATTGACAGTTTTTTTTTCGATTAAAACCGAATTGTGAACACCTCTATTGAAAACTTTATTATGTTGTGTTATTTATGAATCTCTTTATTCAAGATGCCTCTCCATTGACCGAACAAGTATTCATTTTTTATTTTTAATATTTACCGGTCCGGTCCGGTTAAACCGGCGGTTTGCCGCAGGTAATCCGTTAATCGGACCGGTTGTTCCGATTTTTTAAACAAAATTAACCACCGGATTTTTAAGGTTTTTTTTTAGTCGACCATTTAACCAATCTGTGGTCCAAATTGACGGTTTTTTTTCGGTTAAAACCGGACTGTGAACACCCCTATTGAAAACTTTATTATGTTGCGTTATTTTATGAATCTCTTTATTCAAGATGCCTCTCCATTGAGGCATGGAGAATGAGATTCAACTCACTATCATCCAAACGAGGTCAATCTAAGATGAACGGTTTAGCGAAATATCTAATTATAACGAAGTAATAGTAACTTATTTATTAATAATATTTTAGTCGAATATAAAAAGTACATGCATTGCTTTATTATAAAAATATATATATATATATAAAAATATATTCTCATTTTTAAATAATAATTGCTAATATATACAAACATGTATGTGCATTGTAGGTGATATTTACTAGTACGTTATCAACTGGAAGATTAATGAGAATCTCGTTCCCTCAAGGATTGGATGCATGATTTGACCACGATTTTTCGTAGGGTGGCTCACTCCCGCTGCGTTCTAGTATAATCGTTATAGGTCCCATGACCTCTTTTTTGTACAAAAAAATAATAATTTAATAGAAGTAAAATTTTTGGACAATCAATTGCCTCTTTAACAATTCTGGAATTCGTTAAGGAAAAGAATTCATAATTGCTTCATAAAAGATAAATCTGAAAATCCATTTAAAAACAATAAATTTGACTAAATCAAACTATTACAAAGCATTCCTATATGTAAAAACAATTAAAATTGATCAAATAATAGACTTTTTTTTTTTTTTTCAAACGACAAATAATAGACTTACCAAACGAAAATTACAAAAACTACATTAGGGCCATACAAACAAAATAACAATATAATCAAACTATTAAAATTAAGAATAATTCAAATTACATAAATAATTCCCCCCAATAGTTGATACAAATTTAATTTCTCCACGAAAACGTAACTTCAGCATTTGGGGAAATCCAGCGGCGGTGGCGGAAGTGTCGTGGCCGGCGTTGGCCCGTTCTCCACCACAAAAGCCGTCGCTAAACCCCACGGCAAGTGCACGTCCAGATGACAATGCATCAACCACACACCTACATAAACATTTTCCATTTTAATCCCTCAAAACTTATATATATACACAAATCATTAATTTTCAACATCATTATTATTATTATTATTATTATTATTATTATTATTATTATTATTATTATTATAGGAAACAAAATGTACCTGGATTGTTCGCTCGGAATCTAATGACGGCCCATCCTCCAACCGGTACGGCTATCGTGTTCCTCTCTTGCGGGTTTTGAAAATTGAACTTTTTACTATCAACATTGGCATTGTAATTCCCAAACCCTTGGGCCAACACATAGAAATTGAACCCATGCAAGTGTATTGGGTGGTTTTCGATTCCGAGTAGAGCTGTGTTTTGTAGCACGATCTCGACCGTCGAATTAAATTTCACTTTCTTCACCTTCGTCGATTTGGTCGTATTCAAAAGTGCTCGGTTCACGGTGTTGTTCGCGTTCGTGTAGTCGAATCTCACGGGCGGGTTATCTGGAAAATCCGTGGTGTAAACCCCATTGACATTATTCCTAAAAAATGCCTCGAGCATGGACAACTTGTTCGGAAACCGAAAAGATGCGTTGTTCATGCTCGCGGCGAGCCTCATCCCGAACGGGCCTTGGCAAGTCGAGTTCCCGGGCCTGTCACAGGCGGCAAGGCCCAATCCTACTGTCACGAACATTCGCTCGTCGACTCGGTTCGGGACGGGTAGCCAAAACGGGCTTGTGGTAAGCCCAGTTAGGTTCGTGAAAAACTTGTGGGCCGTGGGCGTGTCATTGAAGGCCGGAAGGACGGGCATAATGGGCCGGGAGGACCCGGATGAAGGTGCATCATTGTAGACTAAGATTCCTGTGGTTGTGGTGTTGTCGAACGGGACATTGGCCACACTTATATAGGGATGAGCCGCCATGTAGTAACGGGCTGGGCTTTGGTCGGCTGTGAGTAGTACATCAGTAGTCTGGCCCGGAGCCACGACTACAACGTCAGTCGAGTAAGGGTTCGTGTAAGCGGCATCGACAGCGACAACTGTCAATTTGTGGGCCGCGATTTTGAAGAACAACTGATTGTTCATTGCAGCGTTGATTATTCGGAGGAGGTAGGTTTTCCCGCGTACTACGTGCAATTGGTATGTTTCTATATAAAAATTGTAAACATAAGAGAATTATAAAATTGAAACATATATGTAACTAATTTATGGAAAATTGAATGAAATAACCTTGAATATTATTAATTAGGTGCAAAATTGATATATTAATTAATGTGACACTTACTATTTGAAGAGCATGAATAGAGGTCACCGGGTTGACCATTAATTGTATAAGCATCTGAGATATTCGGTGCAGCTCCGGTAGCTAGGGCTTGATTCTCCACGTCTATCACATTAGCATTCCACCATTCCCCTAATAATAATAATAATAATAATAATAATAATAATAATAATAATAATAATAATAATAATAATAATAATAATAATAATAATAATAATAATAAAATAATAATAATAATTAGTAAATTTAAATTTAAATTTTATTTGAAAGGTCAAATTAATTGTTGAAATCGCTAAAACATGTATCCTATATTGCCTACTTAATTACCAAGGAGAATTGGGACTTCTCTATAAGGCTTTGGAAACGGGTAGGGCCGACCGGACCTGGGCCGGATAATTAGGGCTCCATAAACCGTGGCCCGAAGCCATTGAACGTGCGCATGCCACCAAAGAGTTCCCTCTTGTCGAGTTATCGTGAATTTGTACGTGTAACTGTGTCCGGGCCGGATGGGGCATTGGGTTGCGTATTCCGGCCCATCGGCCCAACCACTTAGAAGTTGAAATACACCATGCCTAAATATTATCACACATCAATGAGGAAAATTGAGTAATTTTAATTTATCCAAAAAAAAAAA